AGAGAAACGAGGAATGCCAGTCCCACATATATCCCCGCAAAGACTGGAAAGCAACAAAGACGTGCACACCAGTGCTCATTGCAGCATTAGCAAAAGGTGGGAACAGACCAAGGGACCACCGCCAGGTGATTGCATAAACAAAATGTGGTATGTCCATGCAGTGGAATACTATTCAGCCATGAGAAATGAATGAAATTCTGATACACGCTATGCCATGGGTGGACACTTAAGATGTTGTGCTCAGTGAAATAAGACCATCAGAGAGAACAAAGACGTATGATTCCACTTATGGGAAATACCAAGATATCCACAATAGGTAAATCCACAGACAGAAAGGAGATACAGCATTAGGCGGCACTAGGGGTGAAGTGGGGTTGGGGAGTTATTGCTTGGTGAATACATTAATAACAGATTCTTTGGGGGGTGATGGAAAATGGTTAAAGTGGCATATTTCATACCACATATGCATATGTGCCTGTATGTGTGTGTATTTACCACTGTTTTAGGAAATAACATAGTAACAGGATGTATTAAGTATAATGGTGCCACCAAAAGTTCATGGGAAGTGGAATTAAAAGATACAAATAAGTTTATTTTGATGCAAAAAAAAATTTGAATCTCTGCATAAGAGAAGTCTCCCAAAAGTTCATGAAGAGTATCATGGGGGGAAAAAATCCATGTTTGTGTTTCAAAAAGTATTTGTTGTTCCCAAATAAATGTATGTTAGTTTCATTTCTCTGTGAATTTTTGAAGTATCCCAGTACATACAATGGAACATTTTTCAGCCTTAAAAAAAAGATGGGAGCTTGCCACGTGGATGAATGTTAAGGACAATATGCTAAGTGAAACAGGCCGGTCAGAGCAGATACTCCATGAGGTGTCTAAAGTGGGCAGATTCAGAGACATGTAGACTGGTGTTTGCCAGGGAATGGGGAGTCAGTGTTTAAAAAATAACACTGTCCCCTCCCATATATGGGGAGGTTAAAATTTAAAAAAGAAAGAAACGCCCTGTGTATCAGTTTTGCTCCAAACACAGTGCTTTGGCAAACTTCAGTATAAATCCTTGTCAAACATGTTGATAGGAATTCTGTATTACTGTAATAGTAATGATTTTGTGACTTTTTTAAACAATTTATTTATTTATTTGAAAGAGTTACACAGAGAGAGAAGGAGAGGGAGAGGGAGAGAGAGAGTCAGTCTTCCATCCACTGGTTCACTCTCCAATTGACTACAATGACCAGAGCTACGTTCATGCGAAGCCAGGAGTCAGGAGCTTCTTCTGGGTCTTCCACACAGGTGCAGGGGCCCAAGCACTTGGGCCATCTTCTACTGCTTTCCCAGGCCATAGCAGAGAGCTGGATCAGAAGTGGAGCAGTCAGGACTCAAACCAATGCCCATATGGGATGCCGGCACCACAGGCGGCAGCTTTACCCACTATGCTGCAGCACCTGCCCCAATTTTGTGACTTTTAAAATTTACTTTATATGTGTAAGGTTGAGCACCTTTACATTTGAGTATTATTTTTAGTCCTTGCCTATTTGCACCCCAACAAAGATCTGTTTACTTTTTTATTGATTGAACTCTTTATTTAGTAAAGCCATTAAGCCTTAGGCTATAACATATATTAAAAATAGGTTAACTCGGGGCCAGCGCTGTGGCACACTGGGTTAAAGCCCCAGCCTGAAGTGCCAGCATCCTTTATAGGAGCCAGTTCAAGTCCCAGCTGCTCAACTTCCAATCCAACTCCTTGCTAATGGACCTGAGAAGGCAGCAGAAGATGGCCGAAGTGCTTGGGCACCTACACCCATGTGGGAGACCCGGAAGAAGCTCCTTAGCTTCTGGCTTCAGATCAGCCCAGCTCTGGCCATTGTGGTCATTTGGGGAGTGAACCAGCAGAACGGAAGACCTCTCTCTCTGTCTAACTCTGCCTTTCGAATAAATAAAAATTAATTCTTTAAAAACTAAAAAAAATTAAGAAATAGGTTATCTAAAAAATTAAAAATATACACATTTTTAAAGGACTAAGGCTGCTGCACACAGCTGGACACACAGGAATAACCTCAGGGCCAGATAAAGAAGTGTGGAGGCTGAACCACATGGGCCCGCACATGTGACTCACAGGCTCCTGCTAGGGCCCCCCAGGGATGAAGGACGGGGCAGCTGCAGAGCCCAGCCAGGGCAGAGGGACAGACTACTCCTGACAGCTGAGACAACCCAACAGAAGCATGGGCTCCAGCCCTGGCCCCAGGGCCAACCAAAACAAGTCGTCAACCACTCAGGGCCCCTTGGGGGTGGGAGTCACTAGTGCAGGGGCCCCCAGCACCTTCCCTCTGGGCCCATGGTCTGCATAGCTGCAGCAGCTTCCTCAGCTCTCAGAGCCACTGTGGACCCTGCAAGCTCCCAGCCCTGGTCCACACTGGACCCTGGACAGCTCCTTCTCCACACTCCGCCTCCAGCCACAGATCCCTAACAGAGGACGCTGGTGGCCACCCTTCAGGGACCTGTGCTGAGATTTGCCTGAGTGACTGGGGATGCCTCAGCTGCCGCACTGGTGAGGTTGACCGTCGTCGGCTAGAGCCCAGCACCCATAAGAGAGCTCATTCACTGACATTAATGAGCATTCCTCAAGGACCTGTGGCCCTGACATTCCAGTAAGGGGAGAGAAACCATGAGCACCAAACCGCAGATAATGGGGAGAGGCAGTGATGGAGACGGTGCAGCTGAATGGGAGGAAAACATCCAATGGACCCTAGGCAGTGGTCCATTTCAAAAGAGCTAGTGGGGTGGGGGGGCAGTGCTGTGGCATAGCAGGTAAAATCACCACCTGCTGTGCTGGCATCCCATATGGGCGCTGGTTCGAGACCCAGCTGCTCCACTTCCAATCCAGCTCTCTGCTATGGCCTGGGAAAGCAGTGGAAGATGGCTCAAGCCCTTGGGTCCCTGCACCCATGTGGGAGACCCGGAAGAATCTCCTGGCTCCTGGCTTCAGATCGGCATGGCTCCGGCTGATGCGGCCACCTGGGGAATGAATCAGCGGATGGAAGACCTCTCTCTCTCTCTCTCTCTCTCTCTCTCTCTCTCTCTGCCTCTCCTTCTCTCTCTGTGTAACTCTTTCAAGTAAATAAGTCTTTAAAAAAAAAAAGAGCTAGTAGGGACAGATGTTTGCAGCAGAAGTTAAGAGTCCCACATCCTGTATTAGAGACCCTGGGTTTGAGACTTGGCTCCGCTTCTGATTCTAGTTTCTTGCTAATGAAACTAGGAGCATCAGATGATGCCTCAAGTACTTAGTCCCCTGTCACTTATGTGGGAGATCCAGATTGAGCTCCTGGCTGCTGGCTTCAGCCTGGACCAGCCCCAGCAGTTGCAAGCATTTAGGGAGTCAACCACCAGATGGAAGCTCTATTTGTCTGTCTCTCTGCCTTTCAAATAAATATAAATAAATGGAGGGAAATGAAAATTAAAAAAAAAATAGAGGTGGTGTTTAGTGCCTTGGGGTACAGCCACCACTTGCAACACCTGCAACTCATATCAGAATGACAGTTCAGGTCCAGCTCCTCTGCTTCCAATGCAGCTCTCTGCTATAACACCTGGGAAAGCAGCAGGAGATGGCCCAAGTGCTCATAACCATCAGAGGGGATTTCACATGTTCCCAACACTGGAAATGATCAACATCTGAGATGAGATATGCCAGTTACCCTGCTCTGACCATTGCACTTTGCATGCATGTGTTGAAATGTCATACTGCACTCCATAAACATGTATGATTATTACGTATCAACTTAACTTTTTAATGTTGAAGGAAAAAAAGTAAATAAATAACCTAGGTCATTTTGATACTAGATAGATGGCTGAGAGAAAATAAAACAGGAATATCTGAGGGCAAGGAGGAGTCGGCCATACAAAGGTGCACAAGAAGAGAGTCCCAGGCAGAGGAAACAGCTTGGGCAAAGGCCCTGAGTTGGGAATAGCCTGGCAGGCTGGAGGAGCAGGAGGCGGGGCATGAGACGGGGGAGTGGGGAGGGAGAGGCTGCAGGTGGGAGAGGGGGTGGTGTCAAGAGCCCCTTCCCAGCCTGCCCAACGCTGTCCTGGCTTTTCCCTGATTTCCTGGGTCCCAGGAATGCAAATTGGGGCAGCTGCTACCCTAGTGCCCTCTCAAGCCCTCCATGGTCCCTGGGGTATGTGATGTGGTAAGGGGCTGTCGGCCCTGCCAAGGGCTGGCAGACCTCCCCTCAAGGAGCTCTTCTGTCCCAAGCCCAGAGCTGGTGAAGGTGGGGCCACAGGCAGCTTTCCCCCACGTGTAGTGCCCCGGGCCCACGCCCACCACCACAGGGGCCTCTGCTCCGCACATGCAGGTTGTGAGGAATCCCCCCACCCCCGAAAGGCAGTGCTCGCCTCAATGGCCTCTTAGGTTCTTAAAAAAAACAAAAAGCAAAAGCTTTCCATTCTCTGAAAGTCATAAATCCTGGCCTTCATTAAGTCGGGAGGCATACCCAGCCCATGTGTCAGTGATTAGGGCTCGGGGTGAATGGAGAGTTGAGGAATTTGGCGTGTTTGGGGTGTGCTGGTTTACATGGGCCTCTCCGGAGCCTGTTTCCCAATAGGAGATGATGGGGCTGGGAAGATCTGGAGCTGAGCAAGCCCCAAAGCCACAGACCCTGCCTTGGGGCGCCCTCGCCCTGAGCTCCACCCACCTGCACAGCAGGTGCCAGCTGTCAGCCTCTGGCACAACTCCTTTATAGCCAATACCTTCCTTCCCCTGGGTAGGGGCTCTTGATGCTGTTCAGGTTAACCTGATTCCGCCTTCGCCTTTTAAGACGCTGAGAATGCCCTTCCCCCTCTCTGAAGCCCTCCCCCTCACACATCCCCCCTTCCTGTTCAGGCCTCCAGCTGGTGCCTTCAGCCCTTCAGAGACGTTCTCGTGGCCTGGAGTCCCATGGGAGGGAAGGGGAGTGGCCTCTGGGAGTGGGGCTGAGGCTTCTCATCTGCCTGTGACACTGCTCGCACGGTCCCTGCAGCCTGGGCAGGGTGGGGAGGGGTACTGCCACGCCTGAGGAATGGGCTGTTACTCCGTGTCTTGTTCTGCTTTGTGCTGCTGTAACAGACTACCTGGGACTGATGATTTATAAAGAAAAAAGATTTATTTCTTACAGTACGAGGGACTGGAAGCTCCACAGGGGAGGGGCTCACATCTGGCGAGGGCCTGCTTGCTGCACCAACCTGTGGCAGAAGGTGGAAGGGTGAGGGCAAGGGTAGGGGCTGAACGCTCTTACGGAATGACCACATCTCCCCCCCTCCACACTGTCACCCTGGAGATGAGTTTCCAGTCCATGGAGCATGGAAAGATACAGTCAAACCATAGCACTCGTCTCCGGCCAATGTGGGGCACCCTCAAGTGGTCCTCTCCCTGTAAGTCTCGGCCAAAAGCAGTGCTTCCACTCAACACCTGGCGTTCCTACTCTGCCTCCCTGTGCTCCCACACCCACAGCCTGGAAGCGTGTGTGAGGCCCAACACTCCCGTGTGCACAGCAGCCACCCCCGGCCCCTGCCCAGGTCCTCCCTGCTGCACCTTCTAGATGAGGCTTAGCTCTGGGACCTAATCCACCATTTCTCTGGCAAGAGGGAGCTTGGCCGGCAGCGGTGGCTGGTGCAGGCGCTTGGACAGGTCATTCGGCCTTTGGGTCCCTGTTTGCTTCTCTGTCCCTGGGGTCCATTGTCTCTGCAGAGCAATTACAACAAGGATTGCCAAAATGGCAAAGCACCGAGCCCTGGGCTTACACAGGCTCTCTTGTCCAGGCTACCGGCAGCGCCCCTGTCCTCCCCCTAAGGCCCTTTGGGCCACAGCTCTTGAGTCCTGTGTAGCTGGTGTGCCACTATTTTTGCATCTTGGGTAATGCTTGATGAAACTGGCTCCAGACGGGAGGTGGAGAACCAGGCTAGAAACAGCAGGCATTTTGGATGGCATCCGATGCAGACCCCAGGAGACCACAAAGCTGCTGGCAGCACTGGACTTATGGACTTAATCCATGGATGTCTGAGAGCCATCCCTGGCAGATGCCAGTTTGTGTGGTTCCTGGCCTATTAAAAATAAATAAATAAATAAACAAACAACAAATGTCAGGAAGTGGCTGTACAAACCGTGGACAAGCTAGTGCTTTCTTCGGCCAGGCAGGGTTTACAAGCATGGGCTCACCAGTGCGATGGCCAAGTTCCATCTAGACAGCATCAGAGGGCCCACTCATCTCTCTGGACCTCAGTGTCTCCATCTGGATTATGGAAACAAAATAACAGCCTTCCCCAGCCATGTGATATGAAGAATAGTCAGCCCTCCTTAGCCACAGATTCCACGCCTGCACATTCAAACCACTGCAGACAGAAAATGTTGCACTGAGCAGGTGCAGACTTTTTTAGTATTTATTTCTTTAACAATTATTTATTTACTTTTCATCTGCTTGAACAGAGTAACGGAGCAAAGCGAGGGAGCACACCAGGAGCCAGGAGCTCCATCTGGGTCTCCCATGTCGGGGGCAGGTGCCCAAGCACCGCCTCCCAGGATGCGTTAGCAACAGGTTGGATCAGAAGCGAAGCATCCAGGACTCAAACCAGTGCTCTGAAATCGGATGCAGGCATTGCATGTGGCAGCTTCCCCTGCTGTGCCTCAGTGCCCACCCTCAGACTTTTCTTCTTGACTTTATTCCTAAATAGTACAATGTAACAACTCTGTGCTCTGCCTTGATATGGCATTAGGTATTGTAAGTTATCTAGAGAGGATATAGAGTATGCAGGAGGCTGTATGTATGCAAATACTGCACCATTTTATATGAGGAATCTGAATGGCTGCAGACTTGGGTATCCAGGGGTCCCAGGACCAGTCCCCCTGTGGATTCCAAGGGACAACCATGTGAGTAAAAGTGTAGCTCTGAGTATAAATTAAGCATCCATGGGGCCAGCGCTGTGGTGTAGCAGGTAAAGCCGCCACCTGCAGTGCCAGCATCTGATATGGGCGCTGGTTCGAGTCCCGGCTACTCCACTTCCAACCCAGCTCTCTGCTATGGCCTGGGAAAGCAGTAGAAGATGACCCAAGTCCTTGGGCCCCCGCCGCCCCCCACCATGGGAGACCCAGGAAGAAGCTCCTGGCTCCTGGCTTCAGATCAACCCAGCTCTGGCCATTGCAGCCATATCGAGAGTGAACCAGCAGATGGAAAACCTCTCTATCTGGCTCTACCTCTCTGTAACTCTTTCAAAGAAATAACATAAATCTTTTAAAAAAATCACACAGTAAACGCACCGATTGTTCTTGCAGCCAGTGTGGCGGTCAGCGTGTCCACACCCTAGGCCCTCTGTGCGGGTGAGGTTGGGCCCCCACAGGCCCAGCCCCTCCAGACGCGGGGCCTGTCCCGTCAGTCTCTGAAAAAGGAAGTCTCAGTGAGCACACGGGGTGTGGTTCCCCCAGGCAGTCTGGGTCTGACCCAGACTGGACAGTCACCTCAGTCCCACGCAGACCTGATGGAGACCACAGCTGCTGTGCTGTGCAAGTGGTGTGTACCCCCCACGCCGGGGTTCATATGCTGGGAGCATGATGATGTGAGAGGTGGGGGTCCTCTAGGAGGTGGGACCTCGTAATGCAATCTGGAGCCTTCACTTCCTCATGCCTTTCCCTCTGAGAGAACCGAGTGTCAGAGTAAGAGGAGTGGAAAGAGGCTTAGAGGGGCAAAGGGCACCAGGGGCGTTCGGGGTGAGCTCGGGAGAGGCCGGGTGGGAGCGCCCCAGCCACGGCCCGCAGCCTGAAGGCGGGGTGGGCCCCTTACCCCGAACGCTCTGCCTTTAGCACCGCAGACACGCGGGTCTCGGGGACTGACCCGGCAGAGGCGGGCCATCTGGATCCGAGCTTCAGAAAGGCTTGCAACGTGTGCACAGGCCTCGCGAGAAAGCCACGAAAACAACGAACGCCCACGCAGCTCCCGGGCCTCGGGGAGGGAATGCGAGCGGCTGGAGGCCGGGCATGGGTGGCAGGTGCCTGCAGCTGCCGCGCACATGCACGCACGCGAGCAACTGAAATGTCTGGTCGTGGCTCTGCCGCGTTGGCTTTGTCTTAGGGACTGGTAACCCGCGTTTGTCGGGGCTTCCCTGAACAGCTCCCACTCCGAGGCTAAGTCCTCTGCCTCAGGAGTCTCCCTGGGAGTCAGTGCGCGGTGGGGCAGGGCTCCTGAATGGACAAGGGAACAGAATGAACGATGGGACGTGTGCGGGAGGGTGCGGGGCGCGGCCAACAGGAGGGGGCCGGGCGGGAAGAGCCAGGGCGGGGGCTCAGAGGGCCGGGAGAGCCCACCCCCTACTTCCCACCCCCAACTCTGGTAGTAAGGAGCAGGCAGCCAACGGGCTGCGCCCGAGCCCTCTCGCCTCCCTTCTCAACCTGTCCATCCTTGTTTTCCTACCCAGGGCCCCCAGGACGGCGTGGCAAGCCTGGAAGACGAGGTGACCCTGGTAAGTCCCTAGTTTTCTCAACTGCTCAGCCTAGACTTGGAAGTCTGCCAGGTGCTGCCCACTGTAGCCACCCTCAGCCACGCCCTTTGCCGAACCCCCGAGGTCACGTGGCCAGCACCCCCTCTTCTCCACATCTTCGCTCTCTGCGCAGTGGATCCTGACTGCCAGCCCACGGTCTCTGCCGCAGGCCTCTCAGCACACCACCACGGTTCTCCTGGCGTCTCTGTCCCTGCCCAAACGTGGCCCGTTCTTCACTTCTCTAGAATCTTCCTTGCCAACCAAGGCCTGGACTCCTCAGGGCAGGGGCTAGGATGGACAACTCCCCCACCCCGGCCCAGCCACTCAGAACATGCTCAGTGAATGCTGATTGGCAGGAGAGAGACAGGAGGAAGGAGAGAGAAAGGGACCAGTGGTCAAATGAAGAACAAGGGGTTCAGGAGAGGAGATGAGGAAGAAGCAATCAGATGCTACTGGGCGGATGCCTGCACTAGACCTGCAGAGGCAAGGAAGGCACCGGCACAGCTACTAAGATGCTACTTGGGATGCGCACATCCCACATCAGAGTACCTGGGTCTGAATCCCAGCTCTGCTCCTGATTCCAGCTTCTTGGTAATGTAGCTTAAGCAGTTGGATCCTTGCCACCCACATGGGAGACCTGGGCTGAATCCCCAGTCACGGCTGGCATTGGAGTGAACCAGTGAATGGGAGTTTCTCTCCTCTCTCTCCAATAAATAAATTTTAAAAGAACCGTGAGGGAAGTTGACCTTTTTAGAACTCTGACAATTAACAAAAGGCTTGCAACGGCCGGCGCTGCGGCTCACTAGGCTAATCCTCCGCCTTGCAGTGCCGGCACACCGGGTTCTAGTCCCGGTTGGGGCACCGGATTCTGTCCCGGTTGCCCCTCTTCCAGGCCAGCTCTCTGCTGTGGCCCGGGAAGGCAGTGGAGGATGGCCCAAGTACTTGGGCCCTGCACCCCATGGGAGACCAGGAGAAGTACCTGGCTCCTGCCATCGGATCAGCGTGGTGCGCTGGCCGCAGCGCGCCGGCCGTGGCGGCCATTGGAGGGTGAACCAACGGAAAAGGAAGACCTTTCTCTCTGTCTCTCTCTCTCACTGTCCACTCTGCCTGTCAAAAAAAAAGGCTTGCAACGACCAAAAAAAAAAAAAGACTTCGCATCTCACTAAGATCAATGGGTTTGGACAATTTTTTTTAAAGAGCCATTTAGTCATTTTAGTCATTTGAAAGGCAGAGATACAGAGAGAAGGAGAGAGATTTTTTTCATCTGCTGATTCACTCCCCAAATGGCCGCAGCTGCTGGGACTGGGCCAGGCTGAAGCCAGGATCCAGGGTCTCCCTTGGGGTCTCCCACATGGGTGCTGGGACCCAAGCACTTGGGCCGTCTTCCACTGCTCTCCTATGTGCATTAACAGGGAGCTGGAGCAGAAGTGCAGTATCCACAACTGGAACTGGCGCCGATATGGGACACTGGCACTGCAGGTGGAAGCTTAACCTTCTACGAGGCACCGGCCTCGTTTTGTAGCATTTTAATTTATCATTTCCCCGGTTCCACAGGAGCCTTAAAAGCAAGCAGAATCATGGCCAGCCACAGTACCTGTGACAACTAGCAGCCACCAGAGAAGGCAGAACAGGTTTGAATCTCCCTAAATGTTCATTTCTAGAGAATTGTCACTGTGTGACCTTTTGGTAGGAAAAGCCCTAACTCAGACTGCTTGCCAGAAACAATCAGCAGTGACTGCTCAACACTGCACCTGCCCAAAGTGGTGATAGCAATTAGAGCAAGCAAGTGGGTGACTCAAAAACTTACAATGAGGGGCCGGCACCGTGGCGCACTAGGTTAATCCTCCACCTGCAGCGCCAGCATCCCATATGGGTGCTAGGTTCTAGTCCCAGTTGCTCCTCTTCCAGTCCAGCTCTCTGCTGTGGCCCGGGAAGGCAGTGGAGGATTGCCCAAGTGCTTGGGCTCCTGCACCCACATGGGAGACCAGGAGGAGGCACCTGGCTCCTGGCTTTGAATTGGCATAGCTACGGCCATTGCAGCCATTTGGGAAGTGAACCAACAGAAGAAAGACCTTTCTCTCTGCCTCTCTCTCTCACTGTCTGTAACTCTACCTGTCAAATAAATAAATAAATCTAAAAAAAAAAAAAAAAACTTACAATGAAAGTCTAGGGGATGAGACAGCCAAAGGGGCTGTGAAAAAGCTCCAGCACATTCTGGAGAACCTAGAATGTACATACATGTGCAGTTCTCTGTACGTGCCCCAGGAAAGACCTGAGAGAACACCAGTCTCTCTCCTCTTCTGAAAGAGGTAGTGAAGGGAAAGGCAGAATTGTAACCTGGTGGAGAATTGAAGTCAGGTCCCACACACGCAGGCCCTCAACATAGGGAATAAAGGCATTAAAGGAAATCTCTAAGCTCAGCACTAAGCTAAACCAGCAGAGAATTCAGCAGCTGCATAGGACAAAGAATGCACAGTTTACAGAAAGCCCACAGCCCTAGCACAGCTGTTAAGATGCCCATGTCCTGGATGAGGGTGCCTCAGCTCTGCTTCTGAAGCCACCTTCCTACGAATCTGCACCCTGGGAGGGGGCAGGTGATGGCTGAAGTACCTGACTCTCTGCCACCCAAGTAGGAAACCCAGATTGCAATCTGGATTTGCTTCAGCCTAGGCTGCCCTGGGTATTGTGTGCATTTAGAGAGTGAACCCATGAGGATAAGATCTCTCTCTCTCTCCCTCTCTCTCTTGCAAATAAAAGTGAAAATATTTAGATTTTTTAATAAAATAAAATAATTATTCTTGGAAAGCTCCTAAACACACAAAGAGCAACAACAATAACATATGTTATATGCCAGAAAGGAGAAGAGGAGCCTAATTTCCAGATTAGTCACAATAGATTATTTTAAATGTCCAGTTTTTAACAAAATATAGGGCAAGAAATGCAAAGATACTTGGAAGTGTGACAATAAAAAGGGGGAAACACAGTCAGTAGAGACTTGCTGAGGAGGTCCAGATGGACTTACTGGACAAAGATGCTGTATGGTATCCAATGACATTGGCTGTTATGTATTTGAAGAGCTAAAGAAACCAAAACTAAAGAATTAAAGGTGGGGGCTGGAGCTGTGGTGTAGCAGGTAAAGCTGCCACCTGCAGTGCCGGCATCCCATATGGGTGCCGGTCCGAGACCCGACTGCTCCTCTTCTCATCCAGCTTTCTACTATGGCCTGGGAAAGCAATGGAGGATGGCCCGAGTACTTGAGCCCCTGTGCCCACGTGGGAGACCCGGAAGAAGCTCCTGGCTCCTGGCTTCAGATCAGCTCAGCTCTGGCCATTTAGGGAGTGAACCAACCGAAGGAAGACCTCTCTCTCTCTCTCTCTCTCTCCCTCCCTCTTTCTTTCTGTAACTCTACCTCTCAACTGGAAGGGAGGGAGGGAGGGAAAAGAAGAAAAAGAAGAAAAGAAAAGAAAAGAAAAGAAAGGAAAGGAAAAGAAAAGAAAAGAAAAGAAAAGAAAAGAAAAGAAAAGAAAAGAAAAGAAAAGAAAAGAAAGGAGGCTTCAGATCAGCTCAGTTCCAGCCATTACAGCCATTTGGGGACTGAACCAGTGGATAGAAGACCTTTCTCTCTGCCTCTGCCTCTGCCTCTCTGTAACTCTGCCTTTCAAATAAATAAAGAATTAAAGGAAAGGAGGAGAATTCTGTCTCACCAAATGGAGAATATCAATAAAAAGAATGCATTTTAAAAAGAAGCAAATAGAAATCCTGGAGCTGTGACATACAGTAACTAAAATGAGAGACCCACTTAGAGGGCTTCAGTATTAGACCTGGGCTGTGATGATGTCATCCGTTGCTATCCATTCTGAGGAACAGGAAGAAAAATAATGAATCATGAACAGAGCCTCAGAGACCTGTGGGAGGCAGAAAGAAGCAGGAAGAATTTTGAAGAAATAATGGCCAAACTTTCCCAAGTTTAAAGAAAAACATTGCACATCCATGAAGCTCAATTAAGATAAAGAGGCACTCACCTAAGCACATAAGTCACATTGCCAGAAGCAAAAAAAAAGAAAAGAAAAGAAGAGAATCTTGAAGGCTCCAAGAGAAAATGAGTTATCACAGAAGGGTACTCAACAAGGTTGACAGCCAATTTCCCATTGGAACCATGGAAGTCGAGAGGCACTGGGAGGCCATCCTCAACATGAAAGAGGTCAGTGCTTGTCACAAAGAGACCTGCACCTGGCAAAGTTATCCTCAAAGGACAAAGGAGGAACTAAGATAATCTCAGTAAACACAATTGGAAAAAAGCTATCATTAGCAGTCCCACCCTGCAAGAAACACTAAAGGGGCCCTTCAGTGTGAGCTAGGAGGTCGCCAGAGAATAACATCAATCCACACCAAGAAAAAGCCCCAGTGAAGGTGAATATGAAAAACAGCAAAAATGTGCTTTTATGTATAACTCTGCTCTATTCTGGTTTAAATGACAAATGCACAAAACAATAATCGATCAAATTGAGCTTAAGAACGTATAGTGTTTAAAGTAGTAATTTCATGGCAACAATAGTACAAAAGACCAGGGATAGACATCAGAGCTATATTGGAACAAAATATTTTTAGGCAATTACAAGTAAGTTGCACAGGCTGGTGTGGTGGCATAGTGAGCAAAGCTGCCACCTGCCATACCAGCTGCTGCACGTCCGATCTAGCTCCCTGCTAATGCCTGAGAAAATCAGCTGAGGATGGCCCAAGTGTTTGGGCTCCTGCACCCACATGGGACACCCGGATGCAGTTCCTGGCTCCTGGCTTCAGCCTGGCCCAGGGCTGGCTGTTAAAGCCATCTGGATAATGAACAAAAGGATGAAAAATATCTCTCTCTCTCTCTCTCTCTCTCTCTCTCTCTCTCATTCTTTCTCTGTAACTCTAACTTTCAAAGTAGATAGATAAATACGGCTTTTAAAATAAAAATAACTTTCGTGGCCAGCACTGTGGTG